ATTGTTGCTTAAAGGCGTGAAAGTACCACTATGAGCATAATTAATATGGTTCTCAAATTAGGCTACTTGGGCCATGGTTCATAAATTCATAAGGTGTGCCCTTCTTCCTAAGCAATCACCAACTAATTTCTTTGTTCTATATAATTTAAAACTCAAATAAAATGTCATCATGTTTTTGCCCTTTATTTTGGATCAAATGATGACTTTCTCACCGAAATCCACCTATTCGAAAATCAAGAAGGCTCATTGAGACATTTTCAACTTGCGTTGAGATAAATAGTTGGTCTAAATAATGATAGCGACTCGACCAAACAAAATAGCACGGTAGCGTTTTGGTCCAAAAGCACAATGAACATTGTGGCAAAACGTCATTGTAACAGTATAGTAGACGCCCAAGGCCTTGGTGAAAAAATTGGTGCGTGTAACGCTAATTTTGAGATCCGAAAAGGGAGGAGGCCAACGAATCATCCCAACGGCGTTGACCACCAGACCTCTCAGTCTCACAAAGCACACCAATCACGTGCGACCACGTAGACGGAGAAAGGAAGAAAGAAATTAAAAAAAAAAAAAAAGGAGAAGCTTGAGACGCACCCTACGGCATAAGGTAGACACCGAAGCGTCGGTAAGGCATCAAACATCTCACCACGTGGTGAGGCACTCCGTCTCCGTCACCAATTGTTCCCCGTTTGGCCTCATTTTCATTTCACATTAAAAATAAAAACAAGTTATTTCCACATTAACTAATAATTATTTTATAAGAATCTTTAATGAAAAACTACATTTTTACGCTAAAAAGTCAATTATGTTAAATTCACTTCGTTTGAGTTTATGATTTCTTCTAATCGATATTACTCCTATAAGTTAAATTCAAATGGAAGAAAAATATTAAAAATTCTGGCCATAACATCTCTTCTTGCATTTTTAAGTAATATATTACTAATTACATTGTTCGAGTTATGATTTTTTTATAAGAAGATCAAAATGAGTGGATTACGCTTTCATATTTTCATGTCAAAGACAATTTATCATCACGAGCCTCCAATTGATGCAATTCATAATTTTCAAGCATTCTACAAATTATAAAGTGGAATACATTATTTTTTTAGCGTAATCAGAACCTCACATTATATTTTTTATCTCACACATTCTTGTTTGTTTATAACGTTGGAATTGACTAAATAACATAAAAGTTTTTAAGTCCAAGAGCTTGACCCCCAAATAAATATATAAACCAAAGACCCAAACCAAACCCAGGAAATCAAATCTACCGAACGTGGTTGTCTTGTCTCTGCAGAGGTTAGAGAGAGAGAGAGAGAGAATGAGGAAGACCATGGCGGTAGGAGTACACTGCATCATCGCTTTGCTAATTCTGTCCGGTGCGGATCTAGTCAGGTCTGACGGGTCGGATCATCGCTACAAGGAAGGAGATTTAGTCCCTCTGTATGCCAACAAGGTCGGCCCGTTTCACAACCCCAGGTAAAACCCAACACTCCGCACTGCTCGATCTCAAAATTTCATGCTTTCTTAGCTCAATTCAGCTTCTGGGTTTGTTTATTTCGCTGTAATTGTTATGGATCTGAGTTTATTTCCGCACCCATTTGTTTGTTTACTGAGAAAATTTGTTTGGTTACTGAGAAATCTGCATGAATTACAAGTTCTGGTTCAGGTGGGATAAGCTAGACATTGTGATTTGGAAATTGAATTTAAATTGGCTATTTGTAAATACCAGAGCTTGATCTGTTTTTGAAAGATTTGATTTGGGTTCTTAGTCATTTACAATCAAGTTTATGAGTCAACTGTGTTTTTGTTTTTCGTCGAAATTTCATGTGTACTGTAATCCGAAGTTTAGCTCTGTTTCTGCTGAGCTGGATAGCAAATTGTATGTTAGTTTGATTATGGTGGAACTTTGGTGTTCCTGATGGTCTAAAGTTTGGTTCTTTTTGTTTTTTCGGTGTTTCCAGTGAAACGTACCGCTACTTTGATCTCCCATTCTGCTCACCAGGTTTGCATCAAATCGATTTGTTTCCTTCGTATTTACTTCCTTAATCTTCTCCGAGGAATTGAATTTACCTCATTATTTGGATCCGAATTGTAGGTGCGGTGAAAGAGAAAAAGGAAGCTCTTGGTGAAGTATTAAATGGGGATCGTTTAGTCAGTGCCCCTTACAAACTTGAGTTCCTAAAGCATAAAGATACCGAATTAGCTTGCAAGAAAAAACTCAAAAAGGAAGAAGTGGCCCAGTTCAGATCTGCTGTCAACAAGGACTATTACTTCCAGATGTATTATGATGACTTGCCGATTTGGGGTTTCATAGGGAAGGTTGACAAGGAAGGCAAAGACCCAAGCGAGTACAAGACGTACCTTTATAAGCACATTCATTTTGATCTCTATTATAACAAGGATCGCGTGATTGAAGTCAATGTTCGTACAGATCCAAATGCACTGGTTGACCTTACAGAGGATAAAGAAGTTGATGTTGAATTCATGTATACTGTAGAGTGGAAGGAAACAACCACTCCTTTTGATAAGAGGATGGATAAGTATTCTCAGTCCTCATCGTTGCCTCATCATTTGGAGATCCATTGGTTCTCAATTATAAATTCATGCGTGACAGTTCTCCTCTTGACCGGGTTTCTTGCTACAATTCTCATGCGAGTGCTTAAGAATGATTTTGTCAAGTAAGCATATTTAGTAATCCTTTTCCCTGTTTTATGTCTGCCGGTTCACCCATTCTTACTTATACCTTTTCTTTCTGTATAAAAGATATGCCCATGATGAAGAAGCAGCTGAAGACCAGGAAGAGACTGGATGGAAATACATTCATGGAGATGTATTTCGGTTCCCCAAATACAAGTCCCTGTTCGCAGCAGCTCTTGGTTCAGGAACCCAACTTTTTACTCTGTAAGTGCTCATTTATCCAGCTATAGGTGCAGCACCAGCATGTCTCAGTTGTCGAAGTTTCTCATGTTTTTTTCTTTCCATTCCATGCAGTACGGTGTTCATTTTCATACTCGCGCTTGTTGGTGTGTTTTATCCGTACAACCGAGGGGCTTTATTTACTGCTCTGGTAGTCATTTATGCACTCACTTCAGGAATTGCGGGCTATACTGCTACGTCATTTTATTGTCAGCTAGAGGGATCAAACTGGGTATGTAATGATAAATTCTCCTTGCTATGGTTTTGGTATCATTGATTGAAGTTGATGTTTTAATAATTAAAGGTTCAAACTTTCTGGTATGACAGGTTAGGAATCTATTGCTGACGGGATGCCTCTTCTGTGGACCTCTGTTCCTTACATTCTGCTTTTTGAATACTGTTGCAATTGCTTATACGGCCACTGCTGCCCTTCCATTCGGCACGATTGTAGTTATAGTTTTGATATGGACACTTGTAACATCACCTTTACTGGTGTTAGGTGGGATTGCTGGGAAGAACAGCAAAGCTGAGTTCCAAGCCCCTGTTCGCACCACTAAATATCCGAGAGAGATTCCACCATTACCTTGGTACCGGGCAACAATCCCTCAAATGGCAATGGCCGGTTTTCTGCCTTTCAGTGCTATATACATTGAACTGTATTACATATTTGCAAGTGTATGGGGTCACAGGATTTACACCATTTACAGCATCTTGTTTATTGTGTTTATCATTCTCCTGATCGTCACTGCTTTCATTACCGTGGCATTGACATATTTCCAACTTGCTGCTGAGGACCATGAGTGGTGGTGGAGGTAAGCAGCTATTATTATTATCTGTGCATTCTAAGTTTGGTTAGGGTTTCTATGCAAGTTATTATACTTTTTATTCTTGTGTATGCCTAAACCCTTTTGTAAACCAGTTTCAATTTCAGAAGATGCAAATATACTATTCCTTGACTGATGTATACATTGGTTTCGGTACAGGTCTTTCCTCTGTGGTGGGTCTACTGGACTATTTATCTATGCCTATTGTCTGTATTACTACTACGCACGCTCGGATATGTCGGGATTCATGCAAACATCATTCTTCTTTGGTTACATGGCATGCATCTGCTACGGTTTCTTCCTCATGCTTGGAACTGTAGGCTTCCGTGCAGCTTTGCTTTTTGTCCGTCACATATACCGGTCGATCAAGTGTGAGTAGTAGCTTTTTCTCCATGAATCATCGGATATGGTTTCTCGTGTTTTTGGAGTCACAGGCACCTCTGTAGAGAAGTTTGGTCAAATTAATTTTGTTAGTGCTTGGTGTACTAAAGCTGTAGTCGTGAGATATTCAGAGACAAGTCTGTATCTTTACCTTTAAATCCTTTGCAATACATTCTTCAAATATATTCTCTCTCCTTACATACCCATCTCTCTCTCTCTCTCTCTCTCCCTCGCCCTCAGTTACATGGAAGTGTCAAATTGTAAATTACTGCCACCATTGAACTTGTGGAATGTGCTTTTGAGCGGGGAGACGTCGAATATCTTCAAAATCTGTACGTAAGAACTTCAAACCGAGCAACGGGAATGATAAGTTGATAACCATACGCATTTTTCCTTCACTTATGTCTAATAATGTTAGATTTTTCCGTTTATTAAAGTTGACGGTCTAAAAAGGGGTTTGTAAGAGGAGAAAAATGGCATGCGAAAGAAGAGAAAAAGAATAATAACTTATGACTTGTTTGGAAATATCTTTGAAATGATTAAAAGCGTATTTGGAATCAATCTTTAGTAAAATGACAAGTGAATTCTAGAAAAACATTTTATTGTTTCATGCAAGAAGCACATAAGTGGTGTTTTTTGAAATAAACACTTTTAAGTGCTTTTAGAATTCAAAAAAACATATTCTCTAAAAACTTTCAGTCATTTAAAAGTAGTTTCAAACAAGTTTTTAGGCTTTAATTGTAAATTAGGCTTTTTTAATAAAGTAATGGTTTACACTAAATTATTCTAAATTAAACTTGTAGAGGGTGAAAACTCGAGTTGGGGTGGATGTTCGAAATTGCGAAACCGAAACCGTACAAATACCGTTCCTAACTGAACCGGCTCGGTCCGGTTTGATTCGTCCAGTAAGCAGAAAATGAGTCAATGGCGGTTAGAAAATGGTAGTCAATTGAGCATCGCACAATCTCAGGAATTCCCACAACACGAAAAAGCGAACACTTGAAACTAATGACCCCCCAAATTCTACATCTCCGGTAGCACTTTTACTCTCAGCAACCGATTTGCAACAGCCGAGTGCGGTGAGATATGTCCATTGCCTCATCAGCTCTGGCGCTCCACCTCCCCTTTGCTCCCCCAATCACCACCGCCGCCTCCGCTGCCGCCACTAAACTCACTTACCCAGCAAGCCTTGAGCTTTTATAATCACCACCCGGATAACAAAGTTGCTGCCTTTACTAACAAGGCAATTTCATGTAGTGAAGAATCAGGAAATTTCGAGGGCTTGTTGGAGTTCTCTGAGCCATCTGATGGTCAACATAGTCTTCAACTTGGACTCAATCAATGGAAGATGCAGGCCCTCAGTGCTTTAAAAGTCGGGGCAGCAGAGCTCCGATCCATGTTTTTGAAGGCAATGTAGCTTTACTACCAAGACTTTATGCACGCTCAATTCTCTCCAACTTAAGTTCATATCTTTTAATTTTGTTGGTTTATGATTTTCTCTCAAGGGTGGTGGTATCTTTACTTCGGCGAAGATTTATCAGTTGGTAAGTAAGAAAAAAGTATAGTCAAACTGATTATTCCGTTTCTTCTCTACATACCTTTAACTATTTTTCCTTTGTGGTAGTTAGCTAGAAAGTTATCTGGGAAGGTGTTCCTAGAAGCTGCCAACCATCAGCTAAAAAGGGATTTTGTTAGAAAGGTACGTCTTCGATTTCACACTTCTCAGCTATAAAGGAACCATAAATGAGTTAATTGTTTGGTCACCAGTCGTATGGGTGTACATTACCGTGTTCCTCCTGTGTCTGATATTTTTCAAGGTTTTTAATTCCCTTGCCTTCATGTCACGGGATCTCTCATGTCCATGTCTGTTTTAACTCTTAGCTTTATGCTAGTTTCTCTCTCATTTCAGGATTTCTAATAATTGCCGTTTTGGACAGGGTTTTGCAGGGGCTACATCAAGATATCTTGGTTTAAGAAGCGTGATGGCTTTGCTTGGCCCAGTGTATTGACTCTTCCTACACTTGATTTCTAAAACATCATTATTTCCAGCTTCCCTATGTTTGCTTTTATGGTTCGTTTGCGACCTTATTTCACACACACCCTCCTACTCATGGCCGCTGCACGGGTGCACACTCACAATATGTACGTGCAAGTATCATTTCATTGTTCCTTAATCAAAGTATTACTAATTTCTATGGAAGTAGAATAAGGAGGAAAGTTTAGATAGGTGCTGTTGATGCCAGCATAAAAGTGAAAAGATTGTCACTTCTCAGTAACCAAGAGTTATTTTGGGTGAAAAAAGACTCATGTTACCGACATTTAATCGAGTGTAGATTTGCTCAAACCATTAGATGACAGGTTGAGATTAAGCACTGCCTTTCCTCAAGTAGCCCGATGCTTCAATTTTTTATGATTAAGCCAACTGTGCAACAGCTCTTTGCTGGTTTTGATGATCTTCAAGATTTTGCTATTTGCGAGAATATTGTTATTCATTTTGTTCTGATTATAGTCTTATTGCTTCTGCTTCAGATCCGTATCACTCGCACGTATAGGCTACCGCCTGATTGCTGAAAGGCTTTACTGTTTGCGAAGATGCATCCTCTTCGACATCCATCAAATAGTTCCGGAGCATGAAATGGATCCCAAGCAGCATTCACACCGAAGGTAAATGTGGACGGCCTGTCAACACTTTAACAAAGAGATTTGCGATCAAGATGAATTCCACTGTACATAAAGTTTTGGAATTAAACTTGGATCACCTGTCACAGTTTGCTTCTGTTATTAAATTTTCAAATGTGTAATACCTAACAGTGAAGCTGAAAAGATTATCGACTTCATAGGAGTTTATGTATGCCATTTTAACATTAAAAATTATTCTCAGAAAAAGAAATGAAAAGAAGATGCATGTCGATCATTATGCATGGAACTTGAAATGGAATTAGTTTCGGGTAGCATTAAGATTCTAAAAGGCGATAGCATGGCAGTGAACAAGGGCGTAGCTCTATAGGCAGGGCCTCGGCTGTTTTTATTTTTATTTTAATTAAATTTATTGTGTAGCATGAATAGAATGACATATAATGACATAATTGTATTGGGTATACAAATTGTAAAATAGAATGACATATAAATTATAAAGTAACATACTAAAAACATGGGAACAAACATATAACCAGTGTTTATCTAAGCATCCAACAAGTTTTTTTCAATTTATTGAAGAAAAAAGACGCAAAATGGAAGTAATTTATTTTCTGTCTAAGTGAAAGTTGTGATTTAAGCAGGCAGACGTCTAGGCAAGTTTAAATGTCATTTTTTATTTATTTTTAAAACGCTTAAGAATTAATCGTGGTGGTGACCATTTGCCTAGCGCCAAGAATTGCAGAAACTTTTAGAACACTGGGTAACATAGAGCTTAGGAAGTTAGGGGTCATTATCCCAGAGTTGGTCGAGTGACTTGTAAGGTCCGGCTTCGGAAACAAAGGACTCTGCGGAACACAGCCTGCGCTGGGGAATTCGCTTGATCTTGTTCATTTCATCTTCACTTAGTTCCCAATCGACTATGTCAAGGTTCGGCTTCATCCGCTCCTTGTTGAAAGTCTTCGGAACTGCACTTGCTCTTTGCTGGACGATGGATCTTAGTATAATCTGCATGAACACAACCAAGTTAATCTGTCCTAGTTTCTGTATTTATAAACTAATTAACCAACAAAATCCGAAACAAATATTACCTGTGGCACAGTCTTCCCTTTGGCAGCAGCGAGGTCCTCGAGAACGGAATAATATCAATCTCAGCATTGTTAAGCTGAGGAGATCCATAAAGTCCCAAGGGAGACCACGCAGTCACATGAATTCCTCTCTTTACAGAAGTCTCGCAGTTTTCCTTGCTGTCAAGACGGGTTCATTTCGACCTGGTTAACCGCCGGGGGGATGGTGGCATTGTGAAGGATTTGAGAGAGCTTTAAGATGCCGAAATTGCTAACGCCAATAGACTTGGCTAAGCCTAACCTGGAAACTTCTTCCATGACCGCCCATATCCTCGTTATATCAAAGGGTATCATATCTTCTTTAGTTAGTTCAAATCCTGGGATTCCATGTTTCAGCCTTAACGGCCAACGAATCCACGTACTCCAGCCCCAGCCTCCTTCATATATATAGATAAATAATGTGAACTCGAACTCGAGACATCTTACACTGAAAAAAAAATACTGATATATGCTGTATTTGAGATTGTTTTGTCAATTTCTGGATTTGGAAATATTGAAGAAAGGAATGAATGAACTTGAAGAACTTGTGCTCGTATTTTTGTGCAAGAAAGCTGCCGTTCAAATTATTGCAGAGCTCAGCAAAAACACGTTCCCTCGTCAAAAATCATTGGCACTGAATTCAATCCAAGCTACACACACGCTAGGTCATCTATAACGACATGACACTTGACTAACATCTAGGACATATACGTCATGCATGGATAGATTGAATCTCAACTTTACACTTGTCTTCGTGACTCAAGTAGACCATTGTAACTTGAGTCAAACAACCAGAAAACATTTCGTTCCAACAAATATCACTAAACTAACAACTAGTTGAATAACATCCTATTAATCAAATTATATTAATATTGAATAGTTTTTTGTCACGCTTGCTGCCTACGATTGGATTTTGGTTTTGATAACTCGCTAGATTTAGCGTACGTTGAAGTAAGAAACAAAAGTCAACATTTAAATTTTGTTCAACATTAATCGCAAAGGAAACTTGGAGTAATATTAGGAAGACTAAATTTGTATATAAAATTTTGAAAACTAAAGGACATGGAAGTTGATGATTGATTTATTACTTACATGTTGATAAACATGCTTATTCTTATTGGTGACACATTATTTAGTTTGCAAATTTAATTTCCAAATTTAGTTTCCCTATAATTACCTGAAAACTTATGGCTTCCGACTAATCTATGTTCTACGTTCAACTTTCGAACAGAAATTTTTTTTAAGTTTGACCTCTATTTTTATTTAAACGTACTTGTAAAACTAACAAATTATCCAATCCAATCTAATCAAAAGCATGAAACGTGGCCCTTATATATATATATATAGGTTTGTATAGATAGGTTACATACCGGAGTGAGGTTTTGAGGGCTGGGAGAACACCATCAGGATAAGCATCAGTACACCACAGCTTGGAAGTGATGAACATGTCATCCCGGTTCTTGATAAGGCCTCGCTCTTTCGCCCGGACCACGGCTAGACCGACGGCTTCTTCGGTTTGGTAGAAAGCGGCAGTGTCGATATGGTGGTCGCCGGCGTCAATGGCGTTGACGAGAATGGGGACGAGCTCATCAGTTGGTGTTGGAGGCACTTTATATACCTGTCCCTAACCCTAGCACTGGCATCTTGTGGCCTGAATTTAGCACCACTTCCGGTACTAATTTCTTTGTGCTACTATTAATAATAGTCTCCTCCATTGATTAGTTCTGATCAATTCAATATTTCTGATGATGCTGATGATCAACTACTGCATGTGTATGTACACACACACACACACACACACACACATGGTAATGCTCATGATCAATTACCCATATATATATATATAGGAAGCCGGGATCCCTTTTTTTCCTTTTTATTTTTCTTTTGTTTTTTTTATTATAAAAAAAATGGGAATTAGTTTTGAGCAGTGGCAGATCCAGGATTCTCACATTGGATGGTCCTAACCATCCAATGTAAAACGTCCAAAAAAAGAAATAAACGATAAACTTACAAAAACTAAATAATAATATTTTTCATTCATAAATCATGGTAAAACCAAAGCTAGGTCATCATGAATAAAATCCCTTCATCTAATTTGTAAATACTTGCCACTTAGTACTACGGTCTAGTGGTATTCCTCTTCACTTGTAAGTGAGATGTTTTAGATTTAATTCTCGCTAAATGCGAATTTGAACCACATTATTGCTAGCCCATTGTGAAGTTAAGCTCACCCCCTCCCCTGTAGTGTAGATAATATCGATTGTTCAAAAATAAAAATTGTAAATACTTTGATAACTTTTCACAATTTTACGGAAAAAGAAAAAAAAGTTTTTCTTTTGTTAAATAGAAATAAAGGTAATGGTTCCTATTAAGATCATGTAGTATTATTATATTAGTAGAGATAAGAGTATACAATTTAAGTAAATCTTATTTCTATGAAAAAAATGATTTAGATGTGATTTACAAAATACGGAATTCTTAGCACATAAAATAGGATTCACAATAAAAACTACGTCTTTGACCATTTCACCCAATAGAGATTTAACCAAAAAAAAATGAGAAAGTGCTTTTTAAAACCAATATTTTAGTAGCAATGGTAGACCCATGTAGCAGATTAAAAAAAGAAAAAAAAAGGAGTTTAAGCCTTCTTCCTCGCGTGAAAGTTGCAACTCCTCTACCTCCTCCATGGATGCACTGCACCAGAATTTTGATTGTACCACGGTCCATCCATAACTAAGTTAACAAAAGAAATTTCCTAGGCGTAGCCCATATAGTCCTAGGCCTGAATCTGTCCTCCCTATAGAGTTTAAACTAGAAACGAAGAATAGAAGAAGCAACAATACACAAATAGTAAACAACAACAAAATCTTATCCTACTATGTGAATCGGCTGTATGAATCTTAGAAAGTCAATGTGCTCGGTTTTGCACTAGGTCATCCGTTTGCTCTAGGAGCTCCATATTTTTTTCTAGAATCTCTTTCCAAATCTTCCTAGGTCTTTCTCTACCACTTTTGTTCTGAGTCTCTATCTCATAATCACATCATTAAACCTAATCATATGTACATCTTCGATTCATATGTTCAAACCATTTTAATTATTTTCCCACCTTAGCTTCAATTGAGGCCACACTTTTCTTATTCATAATTACACCCACATTTTTCCCAAGCCACCACGCCAGCCGTCCGTATAAATTCAGCTGTCCATTCAAATTGTTATTCCAACAGTAATTTTTTTAAATTTTTTATCCAAAAGATAATTTCAATAAACCAAAGCAGTCACAAAGGCCAAGTCACTGGCCACGGAAATGGATCCTCTTCGGATTCTTTTCTCTTAATTCATTAAGTTTTGGGATTTAAATTATTGAAATTTGATTCAACGGTTAAAGTTATTATAATTTTTAAAATGAACCCCTATTTGCAACCGTTTGATCAAATTTCAATAACTCGGATCTCTGAACTTGACGAATTAGGAGGAAGGAATCCGAACAGAATTCATTTCCACTGGCCACAAACCAGGACCCAAACATATAGCTTACACCAAAGGGAAATAGGAAGCTTGGGACAACAATACTATATATTATACAGTATAACAACCAGTTAGCATGGCATCGGCAGCTAGTGGTAGTGGGTGGCATTTCTGGTATAACATTGAGAGTGTGTTTACGCACCGTAGTCGGAATGAAAATAAGGAATCTGATTCCAATTATGAATAATTCTTGTGTTTACTACGATTTGGAGGAATCAATAACGTGTGGGACCCACACAAAAAATGAAATTCAATTTCTAAAATTGGAGTAATTGGACTCCCTCCATGGGGTGAGGGATTTGGATTCCTGGATGGTGAAGGAATCAGGAATGCACTTCTACTTTCCTATTATGCCCTCTTATTCACAGACGCTTCAGCTTGGCGTTGAAGTTGGAGGAAGACAACTGGGAAGATGAATTTGGCTATTATGCCCTCTTATTCAACAGATGCTTCAGTGGGTAGTGGAAAGATGAATTTGGCTAGTCAGCTTGGTGTTGGAGGAAGACAACAAGATGGCGATTGGAGTGCTCGGAGCTTTGCCACCATTGATGCATGCACTCATGAGGGCGGGGAGTGAGCGGATGCGCAACGACTCGGTGTTGACGCTCTATCACTTGATGCTGGTGGAGAGCAA